AAACAACAACATGTTAGGGTGTAAGAGCACGTTCTTAATTTGGAATCTGTATTTTAAGAAAAGGAAATTATACATTAAGGTGTAATCGTTTGCTTTTTCTGGAGTTTTCAACCCCATTACACAGTCTTTCTCAGTGAAATTAATTAGTTGTGAAAAGCTATAAGATAAAGAAAGAAAGACAAATGACACTGCTGCTAACATTAGATACTGGCAGCAATATCCCTTCATCCGTTGATTTAAGCAAGAGTATATTTTATAAGAAGTTTTCTTGGAAACAGGAAGGATTTTTTTTACTTGAGATGTCTAAAAGTTTCTCTCTGAAAAGCAATCGTGTTGCATTTGCAAATAACAGCAACAGCAGGATATGAGTGTTAGTTGAATTCACCCTTTCAACTTGTCACCTGCTCTCTGTTAAAAGGAGCCCTGTTGAGGATACGAGCCCAATGATTAGCCTCTGTGAAGACCCAGGTAATGCCATAACATTTTGTCACCACTTCAAGAATGAGCCATTGTCATTCAGACATAATAACAGGTCAGGCTCTATTATTTGAAATGCAGGAGAGTGACCTGCAGAGATCACACTCTGCTTTAATACCATTTCATTGTCATTTGAAACAACCCAGAGGTCACGCCACCTGAAGGCATTGAGGGTAATATAAAGTCACTCAGCAGAGTTCAATATTGGTTGTGCTTTTCAGGTGTGCTGTCAAAAAGGTTAGAACGGTGAATATTAGGATGTCAGGCAAGCAGCTTAAAGTAAAGCAAAGATTAAAAAAACAACAACTGAATTAAATGAACTTAAATGAATATTTTCACTAGTGAAATGATGTTGTGTTATCATCATAAGACTATGGGTCATGGCACCTATCCAACATTGATGATGTTTATCAAAATATTTTTGTTTCACTGCGTTCCCACATCTGCGTGCATTTCCTTCCCGGCTGATACACTATCAATGAGTGCCCAAGGTGTTTCAGTTTACTAAAAGCCAGCAGCAGATAAGGCTGAGATTACAGTGGCAGTATCGCCAGAGAAGGCCGGAGAAAGCGGAAGATATACAAGAAAGCGTGCGGCAGCAATTGCCAAACACTGCTGCTCACAGGGGTGAAGGCCGGAATACATTTGTTTCCTAGTTGGAGTTCCTTAGCCGCATAGCCAATGAGTTATCTGACCTGATGGTGGAGGTGGCAACTGCCAGGTTAATTAATAATTGAACAGTTATCAGTGCAAGCTTAATAATCTTTTTTATATAGCTGTTATGCGTTGTTTTTAGATTCTAAATATGCAATAAAGTATTATGTAAGTGTTTTCCAGAACAATTGAATGAATCTCGAAATATGCAATACAATATATAACATATCTTGTGAAAGTGTCTGCATGCTTTCACCCCTGGGTCTCACTGGTGAAGCCCTGGTTGCTGTTGTGGTTCTACGCAGGCTATCAGGGAGGTGCGAGAGAGTCAGAGCAGGGAAAATAAGCCCATCCTTCTGAGGGTGTCAGGGCCGTGATAAGTCCTGTTTAAACTAAACTACCCTTTGCTAAATGTGTCAACAGTCGCCCGTGGCCACAGCTCTCTGATCTGGTTAGGCAAACACCTGAGGCAGCGGGTCCATCCCTGTCTCGCCTTAACTTTTTCAAGAATAAACAAACTGCCATTTTGACCAGGCACCAAAAGTGGAAGCGGCCGGAAAAGGAAAGTTCACATGGTTCGCCGTCAGGATTTTTTCAGTTTTCCCTCTGCCATGTCTAGGGCAGTTGGCCCTAGTTGTGGAAAGTCTCAGACAGGTGTTATGTCGGTATTTAGTGGTTGAAGCCACCTCTGCCTCCACTGCCTCTGCAATTTTTACTCAGCGAAGTTTTCATATTCTTCATAGGTTTTATGTCACAGAATATAAATACTGAAAATGTGTTAATGCACGTCTTGCTGATGGAACATGTCTAATGGATTTCCGCATTTCAGAAGGTCTCCACCTAATCATGGCTCCCATGGTGATGATATAAACATTTTGCTAACTATTATATTTACTTCTATGAATATTACACCGAATCAAGCCGTTCTTTAACAAAAAAGTAATACAGGAGAAAAAATACAATACATGCTTGCCTTTTTTGATTATATTGTTTTGACAAACACTCTTCAAAGGCATTGACGCAAGACTCATACTGTATACTCCAAGTAGTAACACACCCACACACACACACAACACTGAAAGTTTACAAAAAGAGGCGGCCTGCTCAAACATTTGCAGTGGAATCTGAGCTAGCTCGGAGAGGTGGAAGACATGATTTGGCAGTTTACCCCCAGTGTTTGACTCAAAGTTTTGACGCCATGGCTCGAAGTCAAGCTGAGAAGTTTCCCAAGACCTGCTCGGCCTGCAGGCGGGTACTCCAGCTGTGTGCCTGGCCCCTGAGGATATGCGACCCCCACCCCCCCTGACCGACCGTAAGTCAGTCTGTAGGGCACCTCAAACCCTCTGCAGTCAGCACTGCGGGGGCGCGAACATGCCCCACCACACCTCTGATGCCTCGGTGTTAGCCAGCACTGGGTTTCCTCCTCTACATGTTGAGACCAGTCATCTCTCAAGCTCAACGATATCAAATGGCAGCAGTTCAGCTCAAAAACTAAAACGAAATGACATGAAATGTTCACCCTCTAATGAGACGAGTATGCTATTTTGTACTAACTTACGTTAAGAGTATCACATGAGCTGCAACCCTGAGAGTCATCTCAAAAAATTACTTTTCATTGGGGGAAATGGATCAAGGATTTCAGTCCAAGTACAGAGAATCAGGTTACTTTGAAGTGTTACAAAATCAACATAGTTATACCTATTAAGTGCCTATGATACAAAAACAACTTACACCCCTTTTAGTTTTTCCAATCCACTCTATTTCACATGTACTTTGGAAGAACAACATTTCCAAAGTGTGTGTTTTCCAATTGTATGCCGGGTAGCTGACAGGGCAGCCAGCCACAGAATTTAGTCAACCAATAAGACAAGGGGCAGAAAAAGCAGATTTATCTGACAGGGATATTAGGCTGTTTTTAATGAAAATGTCAGGGTCAAGCCAGACTGAAGGCTTTACCAGGAAACCTTGAAACGCTGCACTCTTTATAAAGAAATATGATATTCATGGCAAAATGTATATTATTAGCAATGAAAGGCCCTGCCTACTGACAAAGACAATCACTGATCAAACTTTTTCTAAAACAGTTTATGTAAAGTATATGGTAAAGTCTGATGCATAAATACTTAAAATTCATTTTAAAATGTTGAAAAGTTTATATTTACTATTCGGAATATATTCTTTCCATTTGGTAGATCATTTGCACAATCTTCATTTAAGTTATTACAGTTTACTGTTGTCTTAGAGTTTAGCTCATCAGCTTTGTTTTATTACCTATTCTATAATTGATAAAGAATGAATGTGTAATTAATAGTGTGACTTTCTAAGCAGGATTCAATGGGTGAGAGTCTTGTTATTGCTAAGATTAGCTTAACTAATAACATTGCTGTACTTTTTACTTAATCATTACTAAATCATAATGTTGTGATAAAAATAGAAAACGTTAAACTTTTCATGACTATATGTGGACTCATAAGTAACAGCGGATTTGGTTTCTAAAATTGAATACATGGATTATGGTGACTGAACTCTCTCAACAAAGTGTTCTTTGTCCGCAGAAAACAAGTGTTGGAGCAAATCCAGCAAAGTAGATTTTACTGCTGAGACACATTTGATTTGATCCACTTTTTCTCAGACTTTAACTAAATTGTTTTAAGAAAAACCTTTAAAATATAACATTACATTTTATATTTGAATGCACTGGTATATTAATTGTAAAGTGATGAAATGGTCATCATCAATAATATTATTTTATTAATGAAAGTATTTACATCATATTATTTAACATCAATATTCTTATTGATATTTATTAAAACATGTTTATGTTAATCTTCATGGTTAAAGTGGGAGATACAGTCTCTTGTTGATTCTTTGTGATAAGAACATTTTTAATAAAACATTTTTGTTTGTAATCTGGTTTGTCACAAATAAAATGTTAAACTTAAAGTCTTCAAATATAAATTTAGAGTAGGATGTTAAAATGTTTTTATATTTTCTGTATCACCCTTATACTTTGTTTTAATGATGGCAGTCAATGCACATGTAGCGAGGCTGCCCCCAAGTTTCTGGACTGTTGTCTCCCCCTATTGGTCCATGTGCTCACTGTGCAGAGCGCGAGACGCTTCCTGCAGACTCCACTGTATCTGTGCAACAGCTCAACTGCACGCGCTTATTCAGAACGAAAACAGAGTTCTACAAATATTGGATACGATTAAAAACGACACGACAACTGCTTTTATTTATAGATTATCCAAACAGTGTATTTTATAAGTACATCATAAAAGCAGCTGACTACTGCTTTCAGATAGAACACTTAGAATCACGATGTTTGACATAAAGCCAGGGATTTGTAAAACTGGGGACAAGCTGTATTAATTTGCAAATGAACCTTGTCACTATTGTTACATTTAAATAAGATGAGTTTAGTCAATGACCACGTATTAAAACAAAAATCAAAACTGCAATAGCAATAATTATGCGCTTGTAACAGTCCTATGTGGATTAGACCTATTGTAGGGTTAATGATAATAATGTTGTGTCTCGAAGAAAATTCAAGAAAATGTATTTTATTTCCTTTAATATTGCTATATCATTATAGTGAAACTATAAAATAACACTAGAGTAACCAGGCTGCAGTTATTTGCTCTACGCCCTAGGTATTAACTTTTAAAATAAAAAATTATACCTCAAATTGAAATGAAACCAAGATTATAAGGGGAAAAACACCTTTTTCCAACTCGAGCTGGTTTTTCGCCGTTGTTGACTGCAAGAGTTCTTCAGGGGAGAGTCATATTAAGTCTCCGCCTACCAAAAGTTTCCCCCAATCCTTTCCCTTGCCGTCAAACATAAATCCAGGCTTCGCCTCCTGTGTCTCTAAACTCTTCAGCAATCCTCCAAGAGTAGACCTCTCAGTCACCATTCTCTCTTCAGTCACAATTGCAAAGTTGACCAAAACATAGCGTTAACTTGCAATTTGCCTTCTTATCTGCAAAATTGTGAAAACTCGAAGGAGCTTCAAAAACTTTTGTTTTTTGACTTTTGTTTTTTATTTGAAAGGATTCATCTCTGCAAGTGAAGCTGTGCGCCCTCACAGCCTGTCACTGCAGACTCTGGGCACAGCACTTGGATTTAGAAAGAAGGATTTTCTCCTTTTTTTACTGCGAGCAGTTATTGTTTAATTTCTTCGCATGAATCTACTCGACCCTTACCTGAAGATGACAGAAGAACAGGAGAAGTGTCACTCTGACGCTCCCAGCCCCTGCATGTCTGAGGAATCCGCAGGCTCACCGTGCCCGTCCGGCTCCGGCTCGGACACCGAGAACACCCGGCCGATCGACAACCACCTCCTCTTGGGTACAGACTACAAGAAAGAGGGAGACGAAGAGAAGTTCCCCGTGTGTATCAGAGATGCGGTGTCCCAGGTGTTGAAGGGTTACGACTGGACGCTGGTGCCCATGCCGGTGCGCATTAATGGCTCAAGTAAAAATAAACCTCATGTCAAAAGACCCATGAATGCATTCATGGTTTGGGCTCAAGCTGCACGGAGGAAGTTGGCCGATCAATACCCGCATCTGCACAACGCGGAACTCAGCAAAACCCTGGGCAAACTTTGGAGGTAGGTTCGCTTTGCATTCTCAATCACTTTTTGCATTGAGTTGTACGCGCCTCTGTGCACAGTGCACGATTCCTTCGATGAAATGCAACACCTGCCTGCTGTTTCACGTAGTGCTTTACAGTCAACTCATGCATTTAAATTATATTTCTCTCTATTATTGAGTGTTAATTTTTGATACACGTCGTCATTCTATATTTGAGTGCATGCACGGCTAAGAATGTGCACATTTCTTATGTGCTTTTTATGTGATTATTTATATTGAAACAATGGATGCAATAATTCAGTACACTGTTCATCTATTAACTATTGTAAAAACCATTTGACGTGCTTGTTGTTGATTGGTCATTTTAATTTACAATTCTCCGTATTATTTTCAGACTGCTCAACGAAACCGAGAAGCGCCCGTTTGTGGAAGAAGCTGAGCGTTTGAGAGTGCAGCATAAGAAGGATCACCCCGACTACAAATATCAGCCAAGGCGGAGAAAGTCTGTGAAGAACGGCCCCAACGACCCCGAGGACGGCGAGCAAACCCACATCTCTCCAACCGCGATCTTTAAGGCTCTGCAGCAGGCCGACTCTCCAGCCTCTAGTATGGGAGAGGTGCATTCTCCAGGAGACCACTCAGGTAAGAAAACAAATAAATATATTAAATAATGAATTCAAGAAAAATAAAATTTTTTTTTAAAACGTAAATCATTGTGACACAGTTGAACAAATCAATATTTATAAGCCTTTTGCAGACAGCTGTTAATGATTCATGATTACAAGCCATCATGTATACACCTGTCAGTTTAGTGCCAACAAACATCTTGAAATCATTTACATTTTTCCTGGTATTTAACTTCATAACCAGCCCATCATGCAGGTAAATGTGATTTTAATTTTGACTGTAAAGCTAACAGTTCCTTTCCTCTACACAGGTCAGTCCCAGGGCCCACCAACACCCCCAACCACCCCAAAGACAGAGCTCCCTACCAGCAAAGCTGACTTAAAGCGTGAGGGGCGCCCCATGCAAGAGGGCACCAGTCGCCAGCTCAACATCGACTTTGGCGCTGTGGACATTGGGGAACTGAGCAGCGAGGTCATCTCCAACATGGGGAGCTTTGATGTCGATGAGTTTGATCAGTATCTGCCCCCTCACAGCCATGCTGGGCTGAATGGAGCGGCGCAGGCCGGCTACACCAACGGCTACGGCATCGGCAGCTCCTCTGTCAGCCAGGCGGCCAATGTCGGGGCCCACGCCTGGATGGCCAAGCAGCAGCAGCAGCACTCTCTGACCACCCTGGGTGGAGGAGGAGAGCAAGGCCAGCCGGGCCAACAGAGAACCACCCAGATCAAGACAGAGCAGCTGAGCCCCAGCCACTACAGTGAGCAGCAGGGCTCCCCACAGCACATCACCTACGGGTCCTTCAACCTGCAGCACTACAGCAGCTCCTCTTACCCCTCCATCACCAGAGCACAGTATGACTATTCAGACCACCAAGGTGGCGCCAACTCCTACTACAGCCACGCGGCTGGCCAAGGCTCCGGCCTGTACCCCACCTTCAGCTACATGAGTCCCAGCCAGAGGCCGATGTACACCCCGATCGCAGACACCACCGGGGTGCCCTCTGTTCCCCAGACCCACAGTCCGCAGCAGTGGGAGCAGCAGCCCATTTACACACAGCTGTCCAGGCCATGAGGCGGCCCTCGGCACTGACTGTACAACACCCATCACATGCATAGACTTCTCTCTGCCGGGTCCTTTGTGCCACCGTGCCACCATGCCACACCCTTCGTTGCCAACAGAAAAACATGAAAGGACTTTTTTTATAGTACTGAAAATATATCTTTGGATTGGCTCACAACAGTGCCTTTTGTATCGGTTGGAATTGTGATTATATTTTTTTAGATATAATGTTTAAAAAAAGTGAAATCCTCTGTGAGGACATACTGGTTATAAATATGTTAGTATGTACTGTGTATGTGTTCTGCTCTTCTCATCATCGTCATAATTTGTGTCATCAGCATCCTCATCATCACGTTTAGAAGATTTAACACATCTGAACGAGCGGGAATGCCGGGTAAAAACACCCTCAGTGGCCTTACTTCTCACTAATGTATTTTTTGTACAAAAGCAAGAAACATCAGTTTACTGACACTGCCGTCTTATTATACCTAAAGCCTACATTCTGCTTTGAATTGTTGTACTGTACATATTTTATTGTAATTTCCATGAGATGCAGGATTGAGCAATGCAGGTTTGAAATAGATTACATTTGTTTGGCCATGATATGACAGTGTCAACAGTGACTTAGTTAAATGTTCTTGTTCTTTGCTTTAGCTCAAAGTATTGTGTTGGAAACGCTATAGCAGGTGCCATGTTATTCTACTAGGGGCCTTACCGTGTTGCTTCATGTAACTGAGCAATGCTTACTTTTATCTGGGTACTGCCTTGATACCATTGGTGCCTCTGGAACCACAGTGGAGAGGCTCTTTCCTCTGGCATTGCAGTGTCAAAACCACAGCATAGTTCTGACTTCCTGCTTGTGGAGATGCAGGAAGTGACCTTTGACCTGATTCTCCTCAGCAGCCAGCAGGTCTGAGTCTGGCGTGCTTCTATCATTCCTACAGCTCCATCCTTTTTTCTAACCTTTTTCCTAATTTATTCTTTAGAATTAATTTTATTTGGAAATAACTATTTGCAATTATCTTTTTAATTACGCAGCAGCTAACTGAGATAAAAAGTTCCTCAGTGGATTAGTTTGCTGTCATATGTGGTACAGATTTGTTTATTTATCATTTGTAAATGTTTCCGTATAAAAGTTTCTTTTATTCAGGATTTAGTTATTGTACAGATTACTTATATAATTACACAATGAGTCTCTCTATAAAAAAAAGAAAACTGGAAGTGTTCTCCTTTTCTTTCTAACAAATGAATTAATGAGTATGGAAGTTGCGACGTTTGTTTTTGTTAAGGATTTGCTGGAATCAACAAGATACTTTTTGTTTTTGGAAAAAAGTTGTGTTCCTTATTTTTTATTCTGTATCATTAGTTCCCATTTTGTCATCTCCTTAATGCAGTTTCTGTAGGTAAACATGGCATTGTCTTAAAAGCTTATCTTTTGTATTATATTGTTTGCAATAAAAACAAAACCCTGAGAAATATATGATTGTCTTGTGCCATTAATTCTGAGCATGTGAAATGCAGACAGTGGTCTTATTCTTATGTTCATATAAAGTGATAGAAAATAAGAAGATTTTGTTTTAATGTGACACAGATAATCACATTTCTGCATTAACCAGCGTAGGCTAATCGGATATTTACTGCAGCAGTTTGCTAAAGTTATTGTTAGACCAATGTAAAGCAGAAAAAACAAACTGGTTATTATTATTATTATGCTACTGGGAACAGTGGTTTTGCTTCTGGCTGCTCAGACCATGAGGTCACAGTTCCATTATTACCATCGAGAAGACGTATGTCCACACCCCTCCCCCGCCTGTATACAGGACAGCTTAAAGAAACAAACTAGACATTGAATATTGTTTATTATTTACTTGCCAAGTAATAAAGGAATAGAGCTGACCTTAATAAATCAGCTGCAGTGTAAACACAATCAGGTACTATAACTTTGTGTTGAAATGTGAGGCTCATTCACAGATGACGTCTCTTTCCTCACATCAACTCGAGTGAACCTCTCTCTGCCACCCACCACTGCTTCTCATCTCACCGTGATGACAGGACAGTTTTACAAAAGTTCCCAGTTCCCTGTTGTTAAACTAGATTGCACAGGTAACTCAATTAAAAAAGATAATTATAGTGTTGTGTACAAAAAGTTGTCAAACTTTGCAGTTTTTGCAATTAAACCGTTTTGATGATCATTATTCAATATCTCCTCTGTAAACTCCCTAATGAGTTCTCCTGGTAAAAAGGAATATTTGTTCGTTCTCCAATACACCAACATGTAAAGAGGAATACATTAAATACTACTTGAGAAGAGGTTTAACATACTAATATATTGGTAATGTTAATTATTTAGCAATGCATGTTAGTGACTAGTTTGAATTTTCCAGAACAGATTTACATTTTTATCTGAAACAAACTTTCAATATATTTCTAGGTTAGGGACATGACATTCACTGACTGGTGACAGGTGTTCAAACGTAAAAGTATATCTACAGTTAGAACTGTGATTTAAAGTCAGTCCCATTATGTAACGTTATTCTTTTTTTATCCTGGTACAATAAAATGTCCGAATTTGTTTATTATGTTTTTCTTTGTTTTTGTTAACTCTGCTTTGGCTTTTTCTGTAACTTTGCTTCAAACTGATAATTAAAACAATATTGTGTTATATAAACCAGTAAAAAAAATAGAAAAATAAAACACATTAATATCAAGACAGTGATCTTACCACATGCTTTACTCGACTGTCTCTGGTTAAGAATGAAGGCTGACATCTCCCCCTGTGACGGTGAGGAGCAGAGTGTGTGAGCCCACCTCCCACAGGGAGCCCCCCTGAGGCACATCCATCACTAGATCCCCCGCGGCTCAGACCTGGAGCAGGGCAGCGGGGCCTCAGGGCCTAGCAGGGCACAGGGAGGCCAGTTCGTGATGGCTCGGGGGAGAGCAGAATGGTGGAGCATGAGGATCACAAGGAAAGAAAACGTATTAAGCCACCTTTTTTACTTCTACAATAAGGAATTATTGACTGACAGGACTGAGATATTAAGATGATGGGTTTCTTATTTTTATTTAAAATAGTTCAGAGTATGGTAAAGTGTCCAAACGGAAACACAACAGACTGTGAGAAAAACTAGTTGAATGGCATTATGGAGCTGATTTAACAAATACATGGACAGTTGTTAGGAGGAGTTCTTATCCGACTCAAACCATTGGCAATCGTCCTCACTATATCCTGATGTTGTCCGAGCAAAGTAACTCGCTGTTCAGGACATGATTGGCTCCTGATGGAAGATGTTGCCTGAGAGGTGAACTAAAGCCAACATTTCTGTTCAGCAAACAAGGGGAAAAGTCAACTTTAGTAAACACAGGTCCATGTTCCTCCAGCTCGAATGACCAGAACATTTCTGCTCAATTGTTTCATTCTCAGGTTGTTGGCCTGGGTGCAAAGTCTGAAAAGTTTACATGAGCATGTCCAACGCTTCAGAAAAATAATCACAATAAAGTCATTCTATTGTTTTGGGGAAAAATCAATCTTTCAAAATTATATAAATTATTACTTGAATTATTCATAAATAATAACTTTGTCGGACAAACATTGATTCTAAATGTCCCCTTTAATAAAATCCAATCCCAATGTATTTACTGATTTAAATGTAAATTAATAAACTGCAAATGAGTGTGTTTACATTTACTTCTCACAACTGGAAATTGTGTGCATGGGATAAAAGTTTATTGAGTTTAGTGAAATAAAGTTATACATGTAGTATCCAAACCAACCTTTGCCCTCAGAATAAATACTTGGGAGGTGTTGGCCACTTTCATGGTGTTTCATCAGAATAGTGTCACGTGTGTCACCCAAACAGGGAATGACATCATGATCGAGGCTTTCCTTCTGTGAGACCATGGTGACTCATTTGTTGGGCTATGATGTGCCGACAGCCTTGCCCAATAGCAGCACAGACACAACGATACATTGAATTTGTTCCACACATCAGCTCGTGAAGAGTAATGATAATGTGCACAGCAATAACAAGTAATGTGACTTTGCTTTCAAAATGAACCCAGATGTCTGTGTATTCTGGAAGAAACCCACTATATGTTTAAAGATAAAACAGAGCAAACAAATAAAAAGCATCCTTTCTAAACGTTGTGCCACAGATTTCTGACTTTGACTTGGAAAGGCTTGGCAGTGGCAGAGTGACCCAGCCAATGAGTGGTTAGGGGCTATGATTGGGACTGCTCCCGTCCAAACAGCAGGAGTGCCCTGATGAATGTTTCCAAGAAGGATCGGAAACAAGACCAAATTTTTCTTTCTTTCTTTTTTCAGACAGGCCTTTCCATGGGCAATTTTCCCAGGACGACCCCATTATTATTCCAAAGAGACGTCTGCCCCCTCCGAACCCTATGGGTGGTCTTTCTAAAGGCAAAAGGAAGAGGAAAAGAAAAGAAAGCGGGGAAAAATGTGGTGATACACCCACTGAGACTGGACAACAATAAAATACACAACAAAGTAAAACAAGACAAAACAAGATGAAGAGGCAAACAGCAGTCCGACATATTGCCACCTAAATCACCGCTAATGTGTAGTCTAGCATGCATGTGTTGCCTATTACAGTATTACAACAAAAACTGTTTATATCAAGGCAAAAATACATGATTTCAAATATAATCTCATAAACCTTATGACAAGTTTATTGTACTTTTTGTTCTACTGCTAACCATTCCTCTGTTTAGGTTACCTACAGGGACAGTTCCAATTGACCACCACACTGAGTTGCTTTTAAATTGTCCAGTCCATAAAATCCTTTCTTATACCAATAAGAACCATGCAGTGGAGGAAACCCTTGCTAAATCACAGAAAAAGACAAGCTGACCACAAGGCCGTTTCCATGGACGCTACACCCTCAGCTGAAAAACTGCTATGTGCTCATTCAAGTTGGGAGCAAAGGGAGGGCACATTTCCTACATCCTGAAGCATCTTGATTATTGTATACATTAAAACAGAAGAGTTACCTGAACAACAGTCGTCTGAGTCGACTCCCTCTCGGGGGAATTTTATTTATTTAAGTTTACAGTCCCACTGTTTGATTTTGCTCCCTGTTTGAGTAGACTTAGGAAGTGAGACTTTGCCCCCCAGCCATCCATCTTACTCTGGGCTCATGAGGACATCAGCCTGTGCCAAGAGGCCGAGCTGGGCCAGGCTGCTGGAACCCTTGGTGAGCTCCCTGCCTTTGTCTAAGGATGTGGAAGAAACCTGGCACCGGCCCGAGGTCAGCGTCACAAAATTATATTACCATAATCCCATTAAGTGTGTCTGAGGCCTCATGAGCTCCAGCTCAGTCTGGGAGCAAGGTAGGTTAGGGCTGGCAGTGGGTGGGTTTGTGCCTAAAGAACTCAGGGGATGCTATGAGATCGTGGCTTACCTGCACTTTATAGATTAGCCAATTTGATATTGTTGGGAAATAATGTGCAAATGCAAAGATCTATTATAAACTCACGTATTATTGTAGGCCTCATTTCAACAAAGTATGTAAAATCTTATGACAAACATATACTGCATAACCAAGTAACTAAATTAAAAGAACACATACATTTGCCAAAAATAAAGCCTACTCTCCACAATTCAAGCCAAGGGCCCATACAAGATGATGAATCAAGTAGGTTTGTCTATAAGCTTTACATAATCAAGCTTTCTCATCCTTATCTTTACTATCCCCCTTGCCTTAGAAAAAGGATTCTCTCAAATAATAATGAGATTTTCCATCCAACACTACATTTGTTTCCAATTAAAACACAGAGAGAAAAGTTCGGTCTGTCCAACCAACCACGGATACAGTAGTTTGTCTTTGCTAATTCCCTTGTCTGTACCTGGTACATCTCCACAGATCATATCGTTTTACAGTGCAGATGCCCATTGGGCAAATGTTTGAAGGGATGCAAATCGACATGTCAGCAAAACTGATACTATTCTCACAGGGCATGAGAGCTGAACATAAGCCGGGCTCTGGCAGTTGATCCTTAAAGCAAAACCCGTAGCTGTAACACATATGGAGAGATTATATGACGTGCCAAATAGGAATACAGCATAGTTTCTGTGTTGTTTCATTCCTTTAAATTGTGACCACTTCTATGTATAAAATACCCAAGAGCTCAAATGTTCTTCTTATCTTTTAAAGTTGCAGCTATCTCATTTTCTGCCATGAATTGTAAACATTTTTATTTTATTTGTTTAGCTACTGAATCCTTAACAAGAGGACTCTTGTAAAGTTTCTGTTTGCTTTGCTTTATAATTATCTTTCATGTTTGTCCTCTACTGGATAACAGCGTGAAAAACAATGTCGATTGAAGACTTCAAAGCGAGAGTAGGAAGGGTCTTACTTGCTGTGGGAGTGTACGTATTTGTAATATGTGTAGTGTATTTGTGTGTGCTTTTTGGGGGAGCAGAGGTATTAGTTACTAGTTGTCGCTGTGACTACAGTGAGCT